TACCATTGGTCACAGTTAACATTAGGGCTAAATACATCTCTTGAACACGTAGCGCAAACCTGTTTGGCCTTTTGTGATACACAAGCTTAATGGGAAATCGCATTAGCCGCTAATGCTGCCAAAGGTGATGTGAGCAACACTGAACAGAATTTATACTTAGTAGATTCTTTGAGCCACAAAAGCCTCCCTTCCCTTGAGGGAGGAATAGAATCATAGAATCTTACAGCACGGAAGGAGGCCATTCAGCCCATCGTGTCTGTGGCAGCTCTTTGAAAGAACTGTCACCCTTGTCCCACTCCCCCGCTCTTACCCCCATAGCCCTGCAAATCTTTCCTTTTTCAGTACCCTTCCAATTCCCTTTTGAAAGCTTTAAGTGAATCTGCTTCCACCACCCTTTCAGGCAGTGCAATCCACAACAACAACATGCATTCATATAGCATCCTTCACGCTGGGTAAAGTCCCGGAGCGCTTTCCTTCCGGAAAGAGGGAGGAAGGGAGGGAACGAAGGAGAGAGGGAAGTGTGGAATATCTTCTAGCAGCGCCAGAGAGAGGAGCTTGCTTAACAAAGTGCTGGATCCCAGCAATCATTTCGGAGAGAACAGTGAGATGGCCACATGTGATTGTGGAGGGAATGGTGTGTGTCCGGGCACTGGGGACAGGGTGTCTCGCTGCAGCTGATAATGGATTCTCTGATGTGATTGTGAACATGTTAAGATGCCTGAAAGCTGGAAGGAGCAGCCACTTCAATGTGCCGTGATAATCTTAGACGATAGAATCATGTTTAACACTCTGAACTCTGCAAATCGTATTAACCCTGAAATTCTTCAGGGAGCTTTGTATCATTGGTGATCTGATTTATTTTGTTTTATTTAGTTTCGCGCCATTTTCACCAGCGTGTGTGTGTGTGTATGTATGTATGTGTGTGTGTTCCACATAACACGTGCGGTTTCCACCTAGCACACGTGCTCACACTCTGTGCAATGTGTGTGATTGCAATCCGTGTAACGTGCGTGATCCGTGTAACATGTGTGTGACGTGCTCCTCCGTGTTCCATCCGTGTTTGCATTGTGTGCAATGTGCGTGGCCAGATTGACCCCGGTGATCATCTCCAGGTTTGTATGTTGCTTATGTTTGATGGAGTTCTCTTACAGGCTTGTCTTTGCTCTGAGAGACTGAGCATCACATAAGCCCCATAGTCCAAACCCCTGCCACTGTCTGGCCACCTTTGCGTAGGGAAATAACTTGAGCCTAAAGATTGAGTGAAGATTTCATTTAGGAACAGGTCGAAGAGGAACGACTTGCTATGTCCCTTTGTGGCTAAATTGGGACTTCTCTTCAAGTGATTTTAAACGCTCCGAGACTCAAACCTGCCTGAAGGGCAATATATGGAACTCCCTCCCTCAAACCCTCAGCCCCCTCCTTTAGATCGCAACTGAAGACCTTCCTCTTCGACAGTGCTTACGGTCAGCTCCTCCATCCCTCCCTCCCTCCCTCCCTCCCACCCCCGGCTCGGTGTCAGACTCCGCCATTGTCAAGCGCTCCGAGACGCTGAAGGGTGCGATTATAAATGCAAGTTTGTAGTTGTTATCTCATCCCAGGAAGAGGATGCCCTGAAGGAGTTAATTCACACACTCCCAGTTGCCAACTCCTACGTGTTGACCTGTTGATTGGTGCGTGACTGAGACAGGGTTTCTTCACATTAGAAGATCTATCGCTGCGCCCATCTCAAAGGGCTGACCCTCAGGATCAGTCAACACTCGATCGATGTAGCCCTCGAGGCCTTCAGAAAAATATCAGTAGGGATCTCAAGGGCTTGTTGCTTTTGTTTTCCACCACCCCTCCTCCCAACACCCATTTCAAGCACCTTCAAAACCACTTTGTCTCTATTCTTACACCAAAAAATAATAATTTGTTCACTCAATCCACGACCGTTTGTGGGACGCTGCTGCACGCAACTGTACTGTGAAGTGAATTGACTGTATTTTGTAATATGTAGGCAGAACGCGGCAGCCAATTACGCACAGCATTGTCCCACAAACACTCGTGGATTGAGCGACCAAATTATTATTATTTATTTAGATCGGATTATTACCCCTGGTTGGTAATCCACCAATCGACTAACAACCGGATTCCTACTTACTGCGAGGTAAACAGAGGCGCGTGGAATACGGAGACTTGGCTGAGACAATGTGATAAGGCACCACATTGAATGCAAAGATTTTATTATTATTATTATTAAATGCAAGGATTATTATTCTTAAGCCTCGTCGCTGCTTGTCCAGTTCCAGCAAGTGACGACCGTTCATTAACCTTCTCCCAGTAGCTGAAGCATTAGCCTCAGCTCTGCTTGTGAGCATCCCCTGTCCCTGTCACCTGCTGCATTGGACGGTCTCAATAGCTGTTTGTGTGCAATGATGAAGCAGCTGCACTCTGTATATTAGGAAGTAGTTGAAACAATAGGGCTGTGGTCCAGAACTCATTATCGCCAATTACAATGAGCCACAATATCCTCTGTGTTATCAGGAAGCACTTGTTATTCATTGAATCTTCTTTCAAAGCCCCTTTTTTTTGTTTTAAAAAAAAACAACTCACTTGTAAAATGTCTATTTGCCAGACGGGATTCACATATTAACAAGGTTAACAAATTTCGCCATTGGTAAAATCTCACTTTATTTTGCTCCCCCAATCACTGCTCCACCCACACACCCCCCACCCCCCAATACCTCCTGTCTTTTTTAAGACTTCAATCAAGTTGATCAAATATTTTTATTCATAATAATACTTCCATTTTGATGTAGTATCTTATCACATCATCGTGATGTCTCACAGTTCTTCATGGGATTGAGAGAAAAGTGACTGTGTGTTTTGTGAGCTGCCACGTCAGCCAAGCTTTCTGGGGGTAATTTGGTCATTCAATCCACGAATGTTTGTGGGACACCTGCTGTGTGCAATTGACTGCCGTGTTTCGCCCACAAAATACACAGGCGACCCACTTTACAATATGTTCTGTGAAGCACTTTGAGATGTCTCATTGATGCAATAAAGTGCTAAATCAAACGTAAAGATTCTTATTATTGCTATTAATTTGAGGACACCAATGTCTCTCCAACAGCCATGAAATGAATGCACAATTTTACTCTTAATACGTGTTAGCAAATAGTCTGAATGGGCCTTTACAGAGTGGTGAAGTGAAAGTGTGTCGCTCACAAGAGTGTGTTGCACACTTTACAATAAACGTGTGAAAGAAAATAAGAACTTGCGTTATTTTACAGCAATTCACCAGCTGGAAACTCTTCCCAGGTAGTTACTGTCGAGTGTGGTGACTGCAGATTTGTGGCAGCAAGATCCCACACACAACCATGAAGTGAATGGCCATTTTGTCTGGCAGATTGATGGTGGGCCGGGACAGCAGAGAAACTCCCTCCTCTGTTCCAACGTGGTTGTTAAACCCCACCTCTCAGTCAGTCACCCAGCTCCTCAGCTTAACATCTCATTCGAAGCATCCATCTTTGTGTTTCCCTTCCAATTGCCTCTGACCTTTCACACCGCCCCTCTGCCCTCTAACAAGTCTTTATTTAACATGATTGGTTTTGATTGTGGTTATTAACCTTAAGCCTCATTGTCCTCGCCTCATGAGACTGGCTCCCCGAAAGCCGTTAAGACGTTTTGTACACAGAATGGGGCACTGGGGTCACAGGCACGAAATCCCACTTCATCTTAGCCATGCAAGTCCGTTTTGGTTTAAAATGCAAGGCTGTGCAGAAATATGTCGAGACGTTTCAATCCAGTCTTAATTTGGAAGCTAGTTTTCGGCAGCTCTCAATATAATAAATAATCCTTGCATTTGATATAATAATAATAATCCTTGCATTTGAATATAGCGCCTTATCACATCATTGAGATGTCGCAAAGCGCTTCACAGACTATAATGTAAAGTGAATTGACTGTATATTTTGTGGGCGAAACTCGGCAGCCAATTGCGCACAGCAGCGTCCCCACAAACAGTCGTGGATTGAATGACCAAATTATTATTATTATGTAAATAAAAGGCTTCCAGATTTAGACTGAATTGAAAAATGATATACACCATTCAGTGGAAACTTAATATTTTAAGACGAAATAAGCCTTGAACGCCAAGACTAGGTAGAAATTGGGTTTGATTTTGTGTGGAAATTTTGATTTTTGTGCAAATATTAAACGTTACCACTAAACAATCTTTAGGTGGGATTTGGGGTCTCTTTGGGGGCTGATTTTTTAACCCTATTTCTGAATGTGGATTCGTTAATTCCTTACAATTCCCGTCCACTCAGGTGATTTTCACTTCAGAAGTAGATTAGTTCTGATCAGCACATCTTGCTAAGACCAGTCTATCCTTCTAGATTTCTCTATGTCAATGAGGAAATACTGTGGAAACAGCACATGTGTCAGCCTGGCGCAGTGGTAGCACTCTCGCCTCTGAGTCAGAAGTTTGTGGGATTAGGGCCCCACGTCAGGACTTGGAAGTCATAGTCGAGGATGACATTCCAATGCAGCGCTGGAGATATGCTACGTTGTCAGAGGTGCCGTCCTTCAGACGAGACATTAAACCGAGGCCCATCTGCCTGCTCACGTGGACGTTAAAGATCCCGTGGCACTATTTGAAACGAGAAGGGAGTTTCTCTCTCTCTCCCGGTGTCCTGGCCAACAATTCCCCAAATAAAACTGGTCACTCACTCCATGGCTGCTTGTGGGACATTGCTGTGCGCAAAATTGTTCACCCACAACATGCACAGTCACTGCAGTTCACAGTATATCCTATGACGTGGATTGAGATATCCACCCGTCATGAAAGGCACTATATGAAATGTAAAGATTATTATTTAGGTTATTATTATAACTGAGCCAGACTGATACCTTGGATCTTTGCTGAAAAAGGAAAGGATATGTTGTCTCTCTGTGCTGTATTATTGATTCTTCCCCAGGTAAGGGTAGGTCTAAGTGAGCTTGTTTGTGCTTTTCAGAAATCCTGGGTAAGAAACTCTTCAGCCTTTGCCAAAGCCACCAGACATGGATCAGCAGCAACATTGCCAACAGGTGAGCGGAGGAGCTGTGGTGTGTACGTGTATATACCAGCTTCCTTGGTGGGGAGGTGTGGAGTAGGGTAAGGTGGTAAGTGGATCTAAGCCGGCTCCAAGATGGTGTAGCTTGGCAACGGCAGGTTAGAGTTGAGGCAGTCGGAATAACTGGGTCTGTGATTTTCTTTGTGGTTTAGTTCCTTAGCCAGGCGAGTCCACAGTAACTCCATGTACAGCAGGGCTGAGTTGGAGGAGTGGGAAGGCAGAGGGAGCGCGGAGGAGGAACACAACTTCTTCCTTTGCTCTTTCTCCATTAATGGGAGAAGTGACTCAACAAAGCGTGTTCTTTGCTTCCGACAGGGTTTGTTCACTGAGAAGATTGTTGGATGAAACGGGTCGAAAGAATAGAATTTTATATAGCAATCTTTCACGTCGGAAGGACGACCCAAAGCGTTTATCAGTACTGGCTGGGCACCCGAGCTGGGGGTGACGAGGGGAAAGATAACTAAAGGCGTGGTCAAAGAGGTAGGTCTTGAGACGGACCTTGAACAAGATGTGGGAGGGAGGGAGGGAGTTAGAGGGACTCTGGGATAGAGTTCCAAAGAGTAGGAGCAGATAGGCTGAAAGCCCGTCCACCAATAGTGGGCATTCTCTATGTGACTGTGCTAAGTCAAAACCCATAGGGGAGGAGTCTGGGGCATAAACCGCATAGCCCAGTGCTCGGTTGAACACAACCTCCGAAACTGGTCGCGTACAAATACACAGTCACTACACTCGACAGCAACGAAAATTTGGTTTCGAAATACCCTGCGGTATCCAAGCAACCCAGCTCTCAAGTGTTAAATCCGCACAGCCCCTCCCGCTTCTGCCAGCGTCTAAATGTCATTCCGTTTCTCACTGTACGTTCCCTATTTGGGTTTTTTCCCCCCCCCCCTTTCTTCCTTTTGCCCCTTTTTCAACAAAAAAAAACAAACTTCAATTATCTGAAACCCTTCAGAAACCTTGATGCGGACGGCACTTTGCATTGGAGTGCTTCGTGGAGCCCGAGTCTGAGTGTAAGTGGGTTGGAGTGGTTGTTTGGGAAGATAGTAGAAGGAGGAAGCTCCATTGTCTCTCTTTCTCTCTCTCTCTCTCTCGCTCGTTCTGTATGTCACTGAAAGAGCATTTATTAAAAGAAAACCTTGTTCTCATAGCAACCGCCAATGCTGGAGGTACCGTTGGTCACGAGATGCTCCGTGCAGGAAGAGAGAGACATCCACAGCACAGCACGGGGAAGCGATACCAGGACAAGGTAAGGTTTTAATGTTGGTGGCGGAGGAGCTTTCTGATCTGGGAGACGTGCCAGAAATATGGGAAAAGCGTGTGAAGCAAAAGGAATATATTGTTAAGGGGGCTGATCCCAGGAACACCGACTAACTGGAACAGCCTTTTTATTTATCAATTTATTTCTTTATTTAATTCCCTCCAGATGTATAAAATAGAGAGAGAAGTCCAAAGCAACAGGTCTGTGAAGAGAGAGAGAGAGAGAGAGAGAGCGCTCTATCAAGCTGTGACTGCCCGGTTTTCTCTGAAGATCTGAGAGGAAAAGGTCAAGCTGTGTGTTGGATGGTGTCTGATCTTATTCAGAGTGTTTGGGGAGGAAGGGTGGAGGTTATATGTGTGTGTGTGTGGTGGTGGGGGGGCATTTGTGTGCTTCTCTTTAATGTGGTTCTGCGTTGTCTGCCCTCCGCAACCCCCTCTATACACTCCCCTCCAAAATAATAATAATAATCCTTGCATTTGATACAGTGCCTGATCGCGTTTTCGAGACGTCTCAATGCGTACCCCCTCCATCCCATCCCATCCCATCCCATCCGGGTGCAAATGATCCAACTTTGAGTGATTTCTAGGGTGGGGCTGTATAGAGGGAGACGGTTCGATGGGCCGACTTGCTCTCTGTGTTGCTGTTTGCGTTACTGTATCAGCAGACAAACCCTGGGTGTCAGACCCCCTTCAAAACCAACAGCAAGAGGGGACTTGGTTTCAGTGGTCACTGAGTGACAGATAGCCTCCCACACACCCCCCCGTGCCCCACCCATCACTGTCACCAACTCCCTCTGGTTGGTTGTTGCTGGGTGTGACCCTCGCTGGACATGCACACACGTGCTGTTAATCACGCATGTATTGCTGCATGAGCTATGCACAACCCGTGTGCTGGGCATGTTGCATGCATGTCGGTGTTGCGTGTGGGCTAAAGCGAGCTGCTTGTGCTTTTGAAACCTTATCGACTGAGAGATCTGACTGAGACTAGGGCTTTGCACCCACGTTTCAGTTTTTAATCACAACAACAACAACAACTTGCATTTATACAGCGTCCTGAATCCAGGGTAGCGTCCCGGAAAAATAATCCTTGCGTTTGATACAGCGCCTTATCACTCCGTTCAGACTCGCCTCGCCCCCTCCCTTGCCTCCTTCAAGACCCGTCTCTAGTCCTCTTCGACCGTGCCTTCGGTTCACCCTCCTTCTCCCTCCACCCTCCCCGATCCCGAGCTCAGGTCTGAAACATTGATTGTCCAGCACCTCCCGACGTGAAAGGCGCTATACACATGTAATTTTATTGTTGTTGTTGTTCTCAAAGCTCCTCAAGGGATAAATATTTTAAAGCAGATGGACTGTGTATTTCGTGGGCGAAACAGCCAGATGGTCACAGAGGAGAGATCTCAGCAGGAAGGCAATGGGGTGGGTTGTAAACCCAGCAAAAACAATGTTTACAAGACATGTTTAGGGCATGGAACATGCAGTGATATGTGCAACGTGTACCAGCACACGGGATGTGTGTGTGGATATATCCACACATGCTTGTAGCATTCATGGCATATGTGCATATGTGCAGTTCACACGATACGGGGCATGCAGCATGTGTAGGAACATGCATAACATAGAGTGTGCATGAATGGAACATACCCAGCATGCGTGTATATAGCACTCCCGCCCACATGTCTGTCCCTGTCTCCATGTGTGATGCGTGTTCCTTCCTCCTCAAGCATGTTTAAGCGCTCTGGGAAGCGACCCTGCGCGATGGGGACGAGATAAATGCGAGGTGATCTTTTGTCTCTATATAATTATACAAAAACAGGGCGTGGTTCTTGACGGGGTAGTTGCAGGTTTGGCTAATAATTTTCCATAAAAAGAATAGCGATTCCCACAAATTACGACTTGGGAAATTACGGGAATAACTCAATAATTTCATCATTTTCGAAGATTCCACTTTTTCTCCCCCTCCCCTCCCCTCCCCTCCCCCACCCGCGTTCTCTCTCCCCCCCCCCACCTCACCCCCCACACAATCTTCATCCCCACCCCCAACGGAGGAGGAAATGGATAGCGAGCAGCTAGTTTTGAGGTGTTTTGCAGGCCTGTTGCCGTGGTGACAGTGGCACAAACGTGACGATGGGATTAATGGCGTTCGATTGATTCTCTGATGTGGGTGGCAGTTCAAGAGCCGAGATCAATGTGCGTCTGTATGTGTGTGTGTGTGTGTGCGTGGGGCGGGGGGGCGGAGGGAGGGAGTTTGGGGAGGGGGGGGGCGTTTTTAGCGACCCGCTGTGTGTTGCCCTTTCCACATCTGTCAGCAGGGGATGGTGGTGGAAGAGTGTGGAGAACCAGCATCAATGTCTTCCTTCAGCCCACAACCCAGGTGCCTGCTGAGAATTCAACCCCCCCACCCTCCCACTCTCAGCCCCCCCACCCATCACCACCACCACCCCGTCATACACAACCCGTTCGACACACGTTAACCCTCTGAAGACTCCAGAGCCAGGGAGAGCAAAAAATGTGACTTGTGTTGCGATAGTCAGCACAGCGGACTCAACTTCTCCAAAGCCCTGCTGTACTGGCCATCTCCCCCCCACCCTCCACCGGCTCCGGATCATCCAGAAACTCTGTCACGCACCAGCTTCTGTAAGGCCACCGCCCACCCCATCCTCGATTAGATCCGCGGTGCGCAATGGGCTGCCGCGTTTCGCCCGCAAAATGCATAAGTCAATCCCCCTTCCCGACATAGCCCGTGAAGCGCTTCGAGACGTCTCAGCGACGTGATAAGCGTGAGGATTGTTAGGTGATCCAATCGGCACCTCAAACCGTCCCGTTTCCCCCTCCCCGCACCAAACCCAGCCCGGCGGCCGGGCTGATCAGCCTCGATGTGCCGGTTCCTCAATAGTAAACCCAAACTGGTGTTTTTGTCATCCCTCGTTGCTAAGCGACTGGTGTCATAGTAACTCGCTTGTGGTGCTCTGCTCTTCCGCCGTAGCCAGATTGCGGGGAGATGGAGACAGGGCAGCAGACAATTCATCGCTGATCTCGCTCTGGCGTTTGACGTCAGATCGTTCAGACAGATGATTTTGTTTGTGCTGATCGAAGATGCTGCTCAATTTAATCTCCATGAACGAGAGCACGCGGCTCACCTGCAAGCACAGTAAATGCGGTGCTTGCCCCCTTTGGAAGCACAAAACACATCTCGCTTCCTGCTCACAAACACCTGTGCGCGTGCGTATATGCACACACACACACACACCTATATATGCACATTCTTACTCAAACGCACCTGCACACACACACACACACACACAAAAATACACAAACGCACACTCGCATCTCCCCACCCACACACACACTTTCCTGCGCACACCCGCACACCACCTACACAGGTACAAAAGTTGACACAGATTAAAAAGAGGAAAACAGCCTTTGCTGGAGCTCACCTGGTGAATCAGTGCCCGTAAGATTTCTGTTGTCAGCCTCGCTTACCCTACGTACACCTCTCTTGTGCGTTTAAGCCCATTTGCTCATCTCATCCACACACACACACCACCCTTTAGAAATAAAAACTCAAATGTCCTTTCACTTATGTACCTTCTATCATCTAGATACTGAGACCATTTTGGAGCATTTTGGAGCGACTCAACTTGGGAAAAGAATGAGAGAAGGAAGGTAAAGGTTGTTTCTTTCCAGGGGTTAACACAAAACTGTTTAAAATAAACTGTTAAAAACTGTTAAACAGTTCACCCACAAAACACACAGTCACTGCACTTTACAGTCGTTCCTGTGAAGTGCTTTGGGACATCCGCCCGACGTGAAAGGCGTGATATCAAATGCAGTTATTATTATTATTTGACGTTATTAGGAGAAAAAGCATGAAATTCTCCTGTGAGCAATCTGTTAATAATTCGACTGGTAAGAGTATAGTGTTTATTCCACTAATATCAACTATATATGTATATATAATATATATACATATATATAATTCAACAATCTGCATTCAAGCTATATGACCATACAGTAATACAATAGTCCACAACATACAACGATAACGGATATACAAGTCAAATAATAGAGAAACAACAGCACGCACACAGGAGAAAGCACCTCAACATACACAGCAGAGATCAGCCCCTGGAAATCCCTCAGGGACAACTGATTCTATAAAAATAATACTTAATCACAGGACTATCGCACAGAATCACAGAGAGTGGTTCCTGTAAACTCAACAGAAACATTGAGCTCCAAGCCCAGCACCTCACTCGTGCTGCCTAACCCGACTAACCACTACTACTGTTATTACATCGCTGCCTGGCAAACAGAACCGAAAACGTATTACCCGCTATTCCTCCTCTTGCACTTTTAATAGTCACTTTCTTACTGGAGGTAAATTCCCTCACCCCTGTAGAGAGAGAGAGAGAGAGATATGGACAAATTCTGGGCAGCCTTCCACAGACTGCTTGTCTCTCAGTCTTGAGATAGACAGATGTCTGCGGCCGCAGCCTTTTCCTTTCTGTGGTCCATTGTTCTTACATCTATTCTCGAGGACCCGACCGCACAATATCTCAGAGGAGTGAACATCTTTCTAGGAAAATGTGAAATGTAATCAGAAACCGACCTCAGCTTGTCCAGCAAAGCTACTCTTAACCATTTAATTATCAAACCTTCTGAAACCAAGGCACCCTGAGTTGATAGTCGGTATATTTCAACAAATCCAATCCTCCCTCATCCAGTTTCACCAGATCAGAGGAACTGGTCACTCCTGTGGTGGGGGTGGGGGTGGGGGAGATTAGTAATTTAGCTGCAAACTTTGCCCACAACAGTTACTACGCTTCAAAGCTTCTCATTCAATGAAGTGCAGTGACATGACAAATCGCTAATGTAAGGGATGGAGTCTAATTAGTCTAATTGGGGTCTCAGCACCTTGGGACGTCCTCTGGATGTGAAAGGCGCTATACAAATGTAATTTGATGTTGTGTTGTAATTATGTGTGTAATTATGTAAATCAAACAATCTTGGTTCCTGATCGATATCCAACGCCCACCCACCCCCCGCCTCACGTGAAATGCCCGTGTGTTATCCCAGCAATCCCCCAAGTAAAACAGTTGTTTGTGGGACATTGCTGTCCGCAATTTGTCTGCACTTTGTAGTGGAATCCTGTTAAGTACTTTGGGATGTTTCAATGACGTGATAAGGCACTCTATGAAAGGCAAGAGTTATTATTATTAAATTTGTAATTTTCACAAAGCAGGTGTTTGCTTTGTAGGGTGTCAGTTTCTTGAACTTCACCAAGACTTGGGGGAGAAAGCCAGGAGTGAACCGGATGCCGTGAGGGGTGGGGGTGGGGTTGCGGGGGGGTGGGAAGGGAAAAGGCGGTTGGCAAGTGGGCGAATGGCAGGCCCCAAGTTCCTCCTGATCTCAGCCTGTAACAAATTTACGATCTATGCTGAATTGTCGAAAAGGGTGTTCAATTCAATCTCAAATCGGATTTTATTTTGGGGGGGGAAAAAAACAGAAGGGCAGAAAAAAAAACCCGACAACAACAACAACTTGTGTTATAGGGCGCCCGGCATATAGGGCTATTGTCTCAGAGCGCTTATAAATGAGAGTGAAATGTAAGTGTTTTACATAGCATTAAATTTACGTAGCCTTAACTTTCAAGACAGGCTGGACTTGCGGCTAAAACCAGTGGAGTTTGTGGCTTGATGCTTATGGCCTTGGTTTCATATTTATTTTAGTGGTTTTCTAAAATATTGCAAATTAGAGAGCGAGAGAGAGAGAGAGAGAGAGCGAGGAAGGTGGGAGGAGAGAGAAGTAAGGGGAAAGGATGGGGAGAGAGAGGTAGAAGAGTAAAGAGAGAGAGAAAGAGAGAGGGATGGATGGAGTCAAGAGAGAGAGAAAGAGATGGTGGGAAAGATACAAAGGGAACGATACGATTTTCACAGTCGGTGAGTGAACAACAAAGGGGATAAATTTGAGGGAGAGGAGAGAAAGGGAGGAGGTTGGAAGTTGTGCAAAAAAAAGAGTGTTAGGATGTGAAATGCTCCACCACAGACCGGCCCATTTAAAAGGGAATCAGGCGGACACTTTGAGGAAAAATAACAAAAAAGGGGCAAATTATCTCCAGCAAGAGAGGGAAAGAGAGCACCAGGACGGACGGATACCATGGGGGTGAGCAGCCTCCTGCTGTGCGCTCTGTACATTCTACCATTTCTATTCTGCCTCTCACCAGACGTACAACAAAGCATTGCTTGTTCTGCGAAGTAGAAAGGCTCTCAGTGTTGTAGCTCAGAAACAGGACACAGACTGTGTGTAATTCAGCCCTGGGTCTCATCGTTTCCTATTTCGTTGTGAAGTAAATGGATTTACTTTTAAACGGAGGATGAAAGTGCCTGTATCTCACCACCTGTTAGGTGGGGGTCGGCTAATTCGCCATTAAATGGTGTCCTCAGGCAGGTTTCTGGATTGTGTCCCATCGATTGGCCCAGAGCAAGTGGTACCAAGGTGTGAGATTGTTGCTGTAGCAACACAGGGACGCTGGTTCGTATGTTGACTCTCTCTCCCTCTGTTTCACACACGCACACAGCGCTCTCTGTGACTCCTAATGCCACAGACACCTGCTGTCTTTGCATCTTATCAGAGAGGGTTTATTTGAGCTGTAATTCTCTGGAGAGCTTTCAGTCTTCTGTCGATAGCAGCTCCAAGCAATGGCTCACACACACACACGCGCGGTCTGTCGCTCGCAATTAACCCGCAGGAGATTTGCAAGGTTTGATTTTTTGTTGTTGTCAGCAAAGCGGAGAAAGTCGAGGGCAGAATTACATTCAGTTCTGCCACAAAAGAAAGCACGAGCACATTACAGGCTGACTAAAAAGTCGTGATTCCTTTAGAATGTCTGATAAGTCTTAAAGAAATGATGATTTTTTTTTAGTACAGTAATTATTATGAAAATAAATGGTATCACGACATTTTGGTCACCTTGTACATCCCTATCTTATTATAATAATAATAATATTAATAATAATCCTTGCATTTGATATAGCGCCAGCCTTATGTAAAGGCCACTTTGGTCCAGTTCCCTGGAGTGCTTGTTGAAACAGGTTTGCTGAAAAGGAATCAGAAACAGGAACCTTGACTGTTTCTCCACTGACTAACCCAAATCCACTTGGGTTTCCGGGCTCCTGCTCGTCCCCCGTCCCCTCTGTTCCACCATCGGTGGCCACGCTTTCAGCCACTGCGCCCCAAATCTCTGGAACACTCGTCCTCCCTCCGTCCGCTGCCTCACTCCCTTCTTCCCCATCTTCAGGTCGCATCTGTAGACCTTCCTCTTCGACCGGGCCTACGATCACCTCCCCCCGGCTCAGCATCGTGCTCCGCCACTGTCAAGCGCTCTGGGATGCTCTATAAATGCAAGTTGTTGTTGTTGTTTGACTGTACTTACATTTGTGACATTTACCTTACACCCAATGCAGCTGAGGCTATCCCTCGTGCCAGTGGGGGGATGAGGGGGTGGTGGCGAGAGGGTGGGTGGGGAGGTGGGGGTAGTGCTGAATGATCATGATCAGAAGCAGGAACTTTGTCTGATTCTCCATTGACTAACCCAGAGCCTTTGAGGCTAATTGTGTCCTGGCTGAGATCAGCTGATTAAGCAGCGACAATTAAATTCTCTTAAACACTAGAATAGCTCCATTCCCAGCAGTGGAATAATAATCCATGCATGTCAAAACATCTTAAAGCACTTTATAGCAATGATTGAAAACAATAGTGACAAATGCATTTGTAGGGAAACACAGCAGCCAATTTGCACACAGCAACGCCCTACAAACAGTCAGGAGATGAGCGTCCAATTTATCTGGAAGATTGTTGACCAGAACAAACTCCTTTCTCTTTTTGAATAGTTTTCCAGGGTCTTTAACATCCACCATCGCAGACAAGATTTTGCTTTAATGTCTCATCTGAAGGATAGTAGCTCCAGCAAAGCACTGGAGTGTCAAATCTCTGAGCTGGCTGGGCTTTGAACACACAATCTTCCACACCCAGCTACGAGAATGCTACCAACCGAGCTAGGCTGATGCTTGAAATACTTTGCATTAATTATACATCAGCATCAAATTAATTGTGAGATTATTTATAATATTGGGGGCCCTGCAGGGCGGTCAAGAAGTGGCCCCCTGAACATTTACACAGGCCTTGGCTTAAATGACATCACGAAATCCTGAAATAATCAATCAAGAACAGTTATTTTGTTGGACGACCGTAAAGGTTTGGCCACCACTGATTTCATTTGGCTGAAAATATGAAATTATGGGCTATTACACCACCTCATGACTATTCTATGGAACTGCATCCTGAACAGACGGGGGCTTACTTTTACAGCATCTTATGCCACTATCTTAACGAGCTTTGCCAGTAGACACTGTCTTGTGTTTCTTGTAGGAAAATGTGTCATCCATTTTGTGCACACAAAGAGGACTGTTGGCCAGGACACTGGGAGAAAGCCCCATCTCCTTTCCAATGTCTCCACCTGAATAGGCCGCAGATGGGACTGAGAGGGCCGTCTCTGGTCACGCACAGTCAGTTCACTTTACGTTGTATTCTGTGGAGCGCTTTGAGACTTCTCGAAGACGTGGTAAGGCGTTACATCCGAGGCAAGGGTTATTATTATTAAATCAAGAAATATTCAAGCAGGCAAAAAACCTGGAAACGCACTAGTTTGGCCGTGACTGCTCTAGAATTAGATAAGCAGGATTCACACCAGGTTTGGTTTGGATACTCTTAAGCAGGGTGAAGGGTTGCCACAGGTGTCAGACACTTCCCTGACCGACCAAAACACAAATTGATGATCTTCTCTCCTGTAGATCCTCTCCTTTCACTGACATTTCCTCTCCACTGCAATCCTCGGACTGGTTCTGCGTGGAAGACTAGTGATTTTGTTGTTTTCTCTATTGATGTGACAACAAGTCATAGTCTGCCACACAGCACAGGCCAAAGCGTCAGCAAGAACATGGAGTTACTGCGTGGAAGCCACCTCCTGAATTCTCCAGAGAAGGTTTGAGATTCAAAGGGCAGAACGAAGCCCATTGACTTGACCAGTAATCAGAGCAGACCCTCTGAGGGGATCTGTTGTGGTCTGAGTTGCAGCATATTTAAATGGGATTCCATAATTCCCATATTTATGGAACTCCACTCCAGAAGTAGATCCCGTCAGAGCAGAGTATTTGCAGGCGTTCACACCATATGTCTGATTACCATAATAATATTAATCCTTACATCTGATATAGTGCCTTTCACGTTGGGAGATCTTGAACCATAATTTACTCCCAGACAATACACACACACATTACACATCAAATTGGGGTGGGGGGGTGGGGGGGCTGAATAAGTAATTAGGAGTGAGAAACCAGCTTGATTTATTCCCTCAGTCTCAGGGTAATTGAGTGAAAGATCTATGGTTGACATGCATAATACAAACAGTCAGTCATAATAATAACCCTTACATTTGGTGTAGTAACTTTCACTTTGGGAGGACGTTTCAAAACGCTTCACAGGGTCTACTGTAAAGTGTAGTGACTGTGTGTTTTGTGGGAGAACATGGCAGCCAATTTCGCACACAGCAGTGTCCCAAAAACAGCGATGAAGTTAATAACTAATTTTATTTGGGGATCATTGGCTAGAACACCGGGAGAGAGAAACTCACTTCTCTTTTTGAATAGAGCCGCGAGATCTTTGACGTCCACCTGAGCAGACAGACGGGACCTTGGTTTATGGTCTCATCTGACACCTTCAACAGTGAAGCACATCCCGAGCACTGCAATGGAGCATCAGCGTAGACGATATGAGTTCCACAACCTGATTTGGAGCTTGGACCCATAACCTTCTGACAGGCATGGCCAATGTACTGTATCATGATATCGATGAGGACTTTTTGCAGTTTTCTTTCTAAATACTCGCAAACAGTGTATCAACTAGTAATATTAGGCAATGAACTGGGACATTTGAATGATAGAAGGAGGCAATTTGCCCCATTAATCTCATGCACATACTAATTATAATATAATGTATAATAATCCTTGCAGTTGATATAGTGCCTTATCCCATCATTGAGACGTCCCCTTGTTACAGAATAATTCCTGGAATTAAACTTTGACAGATTGGAGATTTAATAACCAGGGAACAGCTCAAAGCCTTTGAACGTTCCCCTCGATCGATTTGCGAGAGTGAGGCTCGACTAACACACAGCTCAGCATTCTGCTACTGAAAGGTCGAGCGAGTAAGACTAGAGTGACGATTGGGTGGCACAAGACTCACATGAAGGTGTCTCACCTCAATCCCAGAACAATACATGAGTAAGGCCTAACCACGCACAGCAAATGGATTTTGTGAAACATGAGAGTAACATTCGATGTCAGGAGATTATAATAATAATAATAATAATAATCCTTGCACTTGGTATAGCTCAAGTCATTTTCTTCCCAACATCGCAGTTGTTACATCTGATCATCACTCAAGGTCCAGACACATCTAAGACTGCATTAAATCAATAAATAATAATTCTTGCTTTTCATGTAGCGCCTTGCATGTGAGAAGTAGGGCCAGAGTAAGGGATCGTGGGGTGGCTGGGTTAGGGGGATCGTGGGGTGGCTGGGTTAGGGGGATCGTGGGGTGGCTGGGTTAGGATTAGGGTGGCTGGAGACCTAAACCACATCACATTTTCGGGACCTTTGAACTATTTACGCAAAATAATCAACAACACCTTTTTAAAATACTTCATAGCTGCAGACGTGTCAGCTACATGATCAAACCTTAGTGTAGGTGTCAAATCGTACTCATTTAGACACGAACGTAAGTGCGTTCAATCTCTCCTGGATCCTTGTAGATCTGAGAGAGTTTTTGACGAGACTAGGCTTTCAGAACACCTGCACTGGTCGTGTGAAGACCAACGGCCACGTTTGGAATGCTGCCTCTTACCTGATTCTGTCCCCACACTCTGGAACTTTATCCTGCAATCCCTCTGCTCATCCCCTCTCTTGCCTCCTTCATGTCTCGTCTAAAGACCTTCCTCTGGGGGTTGGGCTCGGGGAGGGTAGAGGGCAGGGAGGAAAGCAGGGAGATCGAAAGCACGGTCGAAAACAAAGGTCTTGAGATGGGTCTTGAAAGTGACAAGGGAGGCAGAGGGACTGCGGAATGGAGTTCCAGAGGGTGGGGGCAGAGTGGCGGAAGGCGGGTGAGGATGGAGCTGATAGGGTCACGGAGCCTAGTGCGGGAGAGGGCACGGGTGGCAGAGTTCTGGATGATCTGCAGCCTGTGGCGGGAGGAGTTGGGGAGGCCGACAAGCAGGAATTTTGCATAGTTGAGCCTCGATATAACGAATGTGTGTAATAAACCTTTGATTCCAATACTCTATGTTTAGAAATACAGGACGTCTGCCTGAACAGACTGACAGAACCTTAGGTTTAACGTCTTATCTGAAGTATGGCAACACCTCCCAACAATGCAGTGCTCCCCCTGCACTGAATTGGAGTGCTAGACAAGAGTGGGAGTTCTGACAGAGGGGCTTGAACCCACAAACCCTTCTAACTCAAGAGGGGCTTGAACCCACAAAACCTTCTAACTCAAGAGGGGCGAGTGCTACAAACTGAGCTTGGCTTAGACCTCATTGTTTTAGTCTCAGTCGATTGGCGGATGGCTTTCAGGAGATAATAATCCCTTCAAATAAATAACGTGGTCACTCAATCCATGATTGTTTGTGGGACGCTGCTGTGCGCAATTGGCTGCCGCATTTCGCCCACACACAAAAAAAGATCAGTACACTCAATTCACTTTACTGTGAAACACTTTGATACAGCTCAATGACATGATAAGGCGCTGTATCAAATGCAAGGATTATTATTATTATTATCATCATTATTGTGCTTCTTACTGATTGCAGATAGGGCAGTTAGGCCACAATACAGAGGTCCTGCCCGTCCATCTCAATCCCAGAACAAATCCACCAGGGATGTAGGAGACTGAATGTCTCGGCCCATCAGGAGGAGAGGAGATACGTGCCAACGTTCCAGGAAATCTATTTCTACTGAAAATTTCTCCCCTATCTTTTCAGCCTGACATCCTACGTGAAGAGCATTCTATAAGAGCATAAGAATTTGCCAGGCAAAAGAAGACCAAGAGTACATCCAGTTCACCTTCCACCATCCTGGCAGTCACTTGACACATCATGTCCCAAACTATATGCTGTATCCTGAGATATTATTTCCTATCAGAAATCGACCTAATTTCTGTTCTAATTTCTATATAAATGCACGTTGTTATAAATAACACAGTAAATCAACTTTGTTTGAATTTTACAGTTTTGTTGACCCGCTTCTTTAATTTGGAATAAAGTTTAGGTGAATCACTAATGTATTTTGTGTCTTTTTCTTCACCGGGATGATTTCTCTTATCGGGTCCAATTTTGCTGACCCAAAGCATCTTAAAAAATGTGCTATGACTTCCATTTTGCTGTTATCCCAATACTCTGGGTCTTGCCTCCCGCTACTTTAATCATTGATATATATATATATATTCACAACTCTTATTTAATTATTAATTGATTTGTTTTGTGCCGCTTCCCAAATTCTTCATCATACATTCTATAAATTTTTACAAGGACATTTTGCAAAGTTTTTTTTAGTATATATATATATATGATACAGCTGACCTGTGATTGGAGGCGGATGTTCTGGAAGGATGAAATCAAATTGGCCGAAGGGCCTTCTTCACCCGAACTAGAACAATCCCTGGGCACAGCGATCGATTGTTTCCTGCTTGGCTTTTGCTCTCTTCCAGCCAAAGCCCCAATGGTTAGGATGGTTTCAGTTAGATAAAAGCAACAGGAAGTTTGCAGACAATAGTCTCATTAGCCAGCTTTGTGGGTTTAACCTGTTAATAGCCCTTACATTTGATATACCACTTTTCAAGTCTTCTCGACGTCTCAAAGCGCTTTACAGAATAGACTGTAAAGTGAATTGACTGCATATTTGTGGGCGAAATGCGGCAGCCAATCGCACACAGCAGTGTCCCACAAACAGTCTTGGATTGCAGTGAATAATTTATTATTTTTTTTGAATAAAGTTAAACCCTGGTGTACATTCTGGGGTCTCCAAGCCTGGACTCTCACAACTTGCACCTAATTCTCTCCGGAGTAGATTGAGAGATTGAGAGACCCAATTATTTTTATTTAAGGCACAGTTAAGAATTGGTTTTAATGATGAGTTTGAAGACAGATAGATGGGGTGGAGGGACAGAATAGTGTTACGTTTTAGTTGGAGAAGGAGAAGGATTCCAGCCTGTGGAGGGGGCACTAACCTATTTGCTGCCTAAAACTGTTCAACAGTTTTGACCCCTCAACTCAGATTTTTTTTCACTGAAAAAAAACTTTCAAACAGCTTTTACCAACGTGGCATTCCTGTGCTGCACAACACTGAATGGATCAAGAGTCCTCAGGGCAAATCAAAGCATTTTTTTAAAACCCTCTCATAGGATGGAGTGAAACTGGTCACAAATAAAAGAGTGAATTTGGGTGGGGAAAAGGGAAAAAAAAAGATTTTTTTAAAAAAAATTACAGATGCAGTAGGCAAAAGCTTTTGAATCCTAAAAATTGTTATGCACTTGAGTCACATTTAGGACATATGTGTGTGTGTGTCTCACTGTGAATTGCTACCAATTATACAGTGCATTTGAAATCTGATTGACTTGAATGAGGATTTATGGTTCTTTTTAATTATAAACGTACTCATTCGCCTGAATCTCCACCCTCTGGGCTGGGAGAACGCCCACAGGTTTCTCAAACTCTTTATAATGCTCTTCACATTCCCCCTTTCCTGATCATATTTCTTTCCCTCTTTCTTTCTCTCTCTCTCTCTCTCACTCACCCAATCAATCAATCAATCAATCAAACAATCTCTCTCTCTCTCTCCTTTTCTTTTCTGGGCTTCCAAGGATTTTTCCCACATACACACCAATTTCACCCCTTCTCTCAGGGCTGTTCACAGTGAAATAACAAAGGAACATGGACCAGACCCCTGTCCAGACAGTGGAGACTTTAGCAGAACTGGTCAAGAAACTCCATGAGATTTTCTCTGCTGATAAAGTCAACGTGGAGGAGGTGCAGAACCTGATGGGGTCTTACAAGAGCAACCCTGTGGAATGGAGTAAATATGCCAAGTTGGACAAATACAGGTAACAAAGCAAACTATTTCAGATCCACAACGCAGCTGAATAGCCCTTTAAAGCTTTAGACAGTTAACACACAGTGCGTTGATCTAATGGACCAGCACAGTGATCCCACTCTCTTGCTTTGTTGAGCAGAAGTATGTGTTTTATATGTTTTAATGATAATATGTTTGGATGTTTTTAATAATAATAAAAATTTTTTTTAAAAAAAGTGTATTTGTGGGGGGTGGTTGGGTTGGAGAGAGTTGCCTTTTGTGTGTTTGCTCGGTGTGTTTTCCTTTATATAAAGTTCTTGAAAGTTGTGAAAATCCCTGAAAGTTGTGAAAAGGCACCTGCCTTTCACAAGGCTACAAAGACGGGATCGATTGCTGTGATTTAAAAAGGAGACGGGCTAATAGTTGGGTACCGCACTTAAAAATATTAACAACAACAATCCTTGCATTTGATATTGCGCCTTTCGTGTCGGGAGGATGTCTCGGAGTGCTTCACTGTGAAGTGTTGGCAGACTGTGTATTTTGTCGGCAGCCGATTCGGCCACAAGAATGTCTCCCAAACAAGCGTGAGTTGAATAACCAGTTTTATCAATTTTACTGGCAAGGTAAGGCACATTAAGGGGGATGGGGGGAAAAAGGGGTGGGGAATTGGAATTAAAAGATCTGCCCGTGATCTAATAAATCGGGAGGAATGGGCTCGATTAACTTTTTAAAACTTTGGGCAACCTTTGAGTTTGTGGAGCTCTGCTGCGTGCACTTTGGCTGCTGAGTTTGCCTATAATATACACTGGGGGCAGGGAATTCTTCCCCTCAGCTCCTGTTAACCCTGCAAGCCAAAACCCTAACAGAAGGTTGTCCTAGCTGGACAAGCAGCGGGAAAGCTTGCCAGACAGCGATGTCAATGGCAAGTTATGTGCATCCTGGTTAAGCAGGATGTATCCCTCCAGAGAGAGAGAGAGAGAGAGAACGCATTCCATTCCAACAATCTATCTCTGGGATTTCCATGTGCGGGTGGGATGTATGGAATTCTCAGTTTGAATGCTCGTAAGCACGGTGATGGGTTTCCGTATGTGTCAGACATCCGGCTGACCAAAAATAAAAAACCCAACGGTTACCGCACTCCTGTGAAGTGCTTTGAGATGTTCTCCCGACGTGAAAATTTCAAAAGGGAATATTTATTCATGTGTTGGTGTCAAGGGCAGGTATTTTTCTCGACCCACAAACACAACTGTTTGTGGGTCCCTGCTGTGCGCAATTGGCCGCCACATTTCGCCCACAAAATACGCAGTCAATTCACTTTACAGTATATTCTGTGAAGCGCTTTGAGACGTCTCCACGACGTGATAAGGCGCTATATCAAATGCAAGGATTATTATTATTTTCCTCCTCCATTTTAATGACCAGCTGTCAGGGTCCCGATACAATGCGGGTTGGAGTTTTGTGACCCCCCCCCACCACTGCTACCTTATATAATGGGGGTCCGCATTTTAGAGCCAGTGTTTCCTAACTGTAAATTCTTGGCTAAACTTTGAGCTGGGCACCAACAATTTTGCACGTATATTTTGGGGGAGGTGAGAAATTTTTAAAAGGATGGTATTTTAATGCAAAGATTATTATTATTATTTTAGGTTCACAATGCTTATTTGTGCACGATGTAACAGCAAGGTCTGTTAAACATTTAACCACTTAATTTCCTTCTGTCTCTTCTTGTCACATCATGTCCCAAGAAATTTATAATCATACCTTTTCTAAATCATCAACATCTTTGAGGGGACACTGCTGTGCGCAATTGGCTGCCGCGTTCCGCCCACAAAACATACAGTATATTCTGTGAAGCACTTTGAGACGTCTCAACGACGTGATCAGCTGCGATATCAAATGCCAGGATTATTATTATTACTAATTATTATTAGCTGCTGCGAAGAACACAACTCACGTCGAATATGCTTTTATTTCTACTTCAAGCAATTTTGCGCTTTTCTATTTCAGTTCCCGACGTCAGGAAACAGACTCTGTCTATTCTGTGCTTTTTGTTTTGGCCAGCGGGGTGTCTGACACGTGCCGAAACCCATCACTGTTGCTTTAAGAGTATCCAAACCAACCCGAGAATTCCATGCATCCCACCTACACATGGGAATCCCAGAGACAGATTGTTGGGAGTGGAATGCGCACTCTCTCTCCCTGGAGAGACGCGTTCTGCTTACCTAATTCCGGAGAGTATTAGGTGCAGTTTGGCAAAAAGGCCGTCCATTTATCATAACGACAACAAGAAGTTACATTTGTATAGCGCCTTTCATGTCAGGAGGACGTCCCAAGGTGCTGGACAGTCAGGGATTTCGACCCGAGCTGGGGGTTGGGATTAGGATTTCTTTACATTTTAAATTAAAGTAACCCATGATTTCTTTAATTGTACCTAGTAGGATTTTTTTCCAGACATCAAGAAATTCCCCAATCTTACTATCTCTAAATTCCACAAACTTGCTGTTGTTGAATTCTCCAATTTTTTTTCTGTACCATTGAATTTCCCATTTTAATATCACCGAGATTCCCAAACTTGAGTCAACGGCCTTGGGATTGTTCAAATCAAGCCCTCAGGAAAATCTCAAGACATCTTTGCTGTATGACTTGAGGCAGACTGGTAGAACCTGATCACAGCTTTGTTATTCATGAGTCCAGACAATCAGCGAAGTAAAGATTATATCCAAAACGTCTTCATGATCATGACCATTGTTCCTATCACGACATTACAGTCCAACATGAGCGACGGGGGGAGAGATTGAAGAAAGTGGGAATGTTTCCATTGGATCAGAGACCACCTCCTGCTTCCTTTTCCCCCCATGGCTCGGGGTCAGACTCCACCACTGTGAAGCTCTCCTGGACGCCGCCACCCCGTGTGAAGGGCGCTTATATAAATGCAAGTGGTGGTTATTGTTGTTAACCGTTAAAGTTTAATGGTTTTTAAAGGGCATTTCAGCTACTCATAGAATCTTACAGCACAGAAAGAGGCCATTCGGGGCTCTTTGAAAGAGCTGCCAACTAGTCCCACTCCCCCGCTCTTACCCCATTGCCCTGCAAATATTTCCAATTCAAATACCTAATTCCCTTTTGAAAGCTAATCTATTCAGTAGCCTACTGAATCTGATCATTGAGTCCACAACAAGGGGTCACAGTCTCAAACTTGGGGGAGAGAGGGCCAGTTTATACAGTGGTGGTTTATGTGTGGACTGCTTTTCTCAGGGAGTTGGGAAGCTTCAAGAGGGAATTAGATGCATTCTTCACAGAGAGGTGGGCTGGCTATGCGAGACAGTGGTAAGATATAATATGGTATTGACCAGACAGGAGTCATGCGTGTGTCTTTCCCCACCCCACCCTCAGTCCTGCACATTCCTATAATTCCTAACTTTGCAAAGACGAGACTGGGGGTTAACCTGATCCTTTAACGACAGCGAAGGGGATTAACAAAGTTCATGCTGGCAAATTGTTTAATAAGATGAAGCTTTCAAACTTCACAGGACACAGGTTAAAATGACCAAGTTTGGAGTGAGAAGGGAAATTTCAGTCTTTTACAGAAAAGATAATAACTTAGTAATAACTGACGGAATATGTTATTGGGCAAAACCTTTGAATCAGACAATAGACAGTAAAAAAATTGTAATCATTTGCTGGCTCAATCCATGACTGTTTGTGGGACGCTGCTGTGCGCAATTGGCTGCCGCATTTCTCCCACAGAACATACAGTCAATTCACTTTACAGTATATGTGTGAGCGCTCTCAATGACGTGATAAGCCGCTATATCAAATGCAAGGATTATTCTTGTTATTTATTATAAAAAGTGGACTGAGTTTAAGAGGGAGCTGCTGTGGGAGCATTTCAGGAAAGAAGAAGGAATGAACTATATGGTTAGAAGGCAGGCAACTGCGATTGGTAGCTGTTATACAGTTTCTCTTAAACCTGATGACTTTTCTCTGTCAATAAAAATTCCTGTGTTATGCTCTAAGAGCTCAAGAATGCTTGAAACAGAAACCGCCATGTGAGTGCAAGGTAATACAGTATTGCATTTAATGAAAATCAAACACTGTAGGGTTTACGCAGTTTACAGAATAAAGACCAGACATTTTTTTGCTGATAGTTTACACGTGTTTTGTTCAGAGCCTCAAAACATGAGCCGCCATTTTGCCCACAAAATACACAGTCAATGCACTTTACAAGTACGTTCCGTGAGGCACCTTGAGACGTCCCGAAGACGTGATAAGGTTCGATATCAAATGCAAAGATTATTATTTTTATTATTATATTTCTTGGTAGCTTTCTATTAATAATTTTATACTGTACTTTTGCAAAAAAAACCTACATAAACGAGACACAATTCCATGATATTTTTCCTATTGTAGATATAGGGAATCGTTCCACTTAGTCTCAGGCTGTATAATCAACAGGGTGCCAGTCTGGCTCAGTTAGTGGCATTCTTGCCTCTGAGTCAAAAAGTTGTGGGTTCAAATCCCACTTCGGGATTTTGGTCTCATCATCTAAGCTGACATGCCAGGAAAATGCTGGGGGAGCAGTGTATCGTCAGAGGTGCCATCCTTTAATTAATTTAATTAATTAAACCCAGGTCCCATCTACCTGTTCAAGTGAATATTAACTTGATATTAACAATTGGATATTGCATTCGATCATCCTCATTCCCCCCATGCTCTCCACCCTCCCCAATCCCGATCCCGACCCCCAGCTCACGTCCGAAACACTGATTGTCCAGCACCTTGGGACGATCTTGCGACGTGAAAGGCGCTATACAAATGTAATTTTGTTGTTGTAAGGATCCTGTGGCACTAATGGCACCTGTTCCAGAGGCAGTGTTCCGAGACGCTATCTGGGGTGAAGGGCGCCTTATAAATGCAACTTGCTTTTTTTGGTCAGCCGGGGGGGGTGTCTGACACACGCGGAAACCCATCACCATTGCTTAAGAGACTCCAAACCAAACTGAGAATTCCATGTATCCCACCTACACATGG